ATGTGCTTTTTTGACACTGATTTTTAATTAAAAAAAAATTTTAATTAATTTTTTTTTGAGACAGAGTGTCACTGTTGCCCAGGCTGGAGTGCAGTGGCATGATCTTGGCTCACTGCAACCTCTGCCTCCCAGGCTCAAGTGATTCTTGTGCCTCAGCCTCCCGAGCAGCTGGGATTACAGGTGCATGCCATCACGCCCGGCTCATTTTTGTATTTTTAGTAGAGACAGGGTTTCTGCCATGTTGTCCACACTGGTCTCAAACTCCTGACCTCAAGTGATCCGCCTGCCTGGGCCTCCCAAAGTTCTGGGATTATAGGCATGAGCCACTGCACCTGGCCTCCAGTTTTCATTTGCACTTATTTTGTGGGATTTGTTCTATATGGCACAGTGTAAAGTAAGCTACTTAAATATGTTTCATTTTCCTTTCCTCTTTCAGCCAAAGCTAAAAGAAATAATTTAATTCCCTCTATTTCTGTTTATTTTAATCTTGCAATTGATAGTAAACTGTTGTGTTTGAATGCAGAAAACACTGTTAGAATGTCAAATGCATTTCCCATTTCTTTGCTTCTCCTCCTCTCCCTCCCATAAATACACAGATGTAGTATAACTGATCTATTGCTATGTAACAATATTGCCATGTCCAGATTTCATAACAGGATGAAGAACAGCATAATTTATCGTCTCATAGTTTCTTTTGGTCAGAACTCTGGTCATGGCTTAGCTGAGTCCTCTGCAAGGCTATAGTCAAGGTTTCATCTGGGCTGGATTCTCATCAGGAGGCCCAGTGGGGGAAAGGTTTGCTTGTAAATGCATCCACTTTTTGGCAGATTGATTTCTTGAGGTTGTAGGACTGAGGGCTTCAGTTTCTTGCAGGCAGGAGGCTGGAGGCTGCCATCCACTTCAAGAAGACACCCACAGTTCTTTGCCATGTGGGCTTCTCCAAGTTGGCTGTTCACTTCCCCACAGCCAGCAACGATGCCAGAGACTCAGCAGGACCTCTGACCCATACACACATACATGTAATCACACACACCCTGTGACCTTTGCTGAACTCTGTTAGAAGCAAGTGGGAAGTAACATCTACACTCAAGGTGAAACAGTCTGAATGTTTGCATCCCCACAAATTTTGTGTGTTGAAATCCTAACCCCAAGATGAGGTAATTGGGAGGTGGGGCCTGTGGGAGGTAATTAGGTCATGAGAGTGGAGCTCTCATAAATCGGATTAGTGCCCTTGTAAAAGAGGCCCCAGAGAGCTCTCTTCTTTCTTTCTACCATGTGAAGAGACAGGAAGGAGATGGCCATCTGGGAACCAGGAAGCAGGCTGTCACCAGACACCCAATCAAAATCGGCTGATGCCTGGATTTGGGTCTCACCAGCCTCCAGAACTGTGAGGGATGAATGTTTGTTGTTTAAGTCATCCAGTCTATGGTACTCTGTTAGAGCAGTTCAAACAGCCTAAGACACAGTAGAGGGGATTACACAAGGGCATTACTACTGGGAGGTGGGGATTTGGGGTCACCATGAGTCTATCTGCTTCCCCTAGTGAGTCACAGTAGGCCTTTTCTCTATCTTATGTGCTTTGATTATGTAGGGGAAAGTCTTTCAGTATTGAAGATGCTATCCCGAAGTTAATTTTAATCAAAGAGTATTTATTGATCATTGATCCTATCCTCAGGTGCTGTAATACGGGAGAAACAATAATAGCTCACTTGGTTATATTAGCCTTTTTATTTGTTGTTATCTTTGAATTGCTAACATTTTTCTTAAAAATTTTGTGTCTGCATTCATGGCCTGTGCTGTTCTACTCATAATGTCTTTGTCTAGTTTTTGTATATGTTCATGCTGGCCTCAGCATAAGTTGGGAAATGTTTCCTCTTTCTGTGTTTTCTGGAAAAGTTTGTGTAAAATTGGTATTATTTCTTCCTTAAATATGTTGTTTTTATTTTTATTTTTTTCAATTCTGCTTCTTCTGAAATATTTTGTTGAATTTGCCATTGAAGCCATCTGTACTTGAATTTTTCTGGGAAGGTTTTAACCATATATTGATTTTTTTTTTTTTTTTAACAGATGAAGGCCATTCCTATTATCCATTTCTTCATGAGTGAGCTTTCGTAGCTGTGTCTTTCAGGGAATTTTTTTTTTAATTGCATTTTAGGTTTTGGGGTACATGTGAAGAACATGCAAGATTGTTGCATAGGTACACACATGGCAGCGTGATTTGCTGCCTTCCTCCCCTACACCTATATTTGGTATTTTTCCCCATGCTGTCTCTCCCCAACTCCCCACCCCCTGCTGTCTCTCCCCTATTTCCCCACAACAGACCCCAGTGTGTGATGTTCACCTCCCTATGTCCATGTGTTCTCATTGTTCAACACCCGCCTATGAGTGAGAACATGTGGTGTTTGATTTTCTGTTCTTGTGTCAGTTTGCTGAGAATGATGGTTTCCAGGTTCATCCATGTCCCTACAAAGGACATGAACTCATCGTTTTTGATGGCTGCATAATATT